TATCATGCAGGACTGTAAAACTACGCCATTACTCCATCACAGTCCTATGTAAAAGTGGTGAGGTGTTTCTTCATATCCAGTAAATTTACAATATTAAGAAATAGTTCATTACCAAGCTGGAGTAAGCCTTTTAAATTTGATCTTCACTTGTAATTTGTGAATTTTTTATTGCTAATGAACAATTATTGTGATTGCAAGGAAGCACTTCATAACTATAAATCATTACACCATGGCTCTCTCTCTACTCTACTCTCTCTGTTTCCCTCCTACTGTATACAGTACAGATTTATTAGCTGAAGCTGGGGCACCCAGACAGCCACCACTCAGCACTCTCTCAGATCAATAATTGGAAATATTAATTATTTCAGCAGAGACGGCCCAGTCAGAAGGGGGCTGTTTATGCTCCCGTTACTGAGCAGTGCAGCAGAATGAGCTTTGATGGCCCACTAATAAGTATTAATGATCCCAGGACAAACATTACTCTATATTAAACCTGAGTGAAAGCCAGAAGACATCGTACATATTGTATGGCTATTAGTGTTATTTTATTGCAAGCACTGCTGTTGCATAACTGTTGTAAAAAGACTTTTACAACTGAGAGATGAGCTTCTGCAAAACCAGGACAAGATTTACTGCATTTTCTTCCCTTCTATTTACTGCATTCTCCTGTATTGGTGGTTCCTCTTTTTGAATTATTTGAAAGTTAAAGACTAGCAAATTTTGGGGCTTGGAATTGCACCAGGTCTTTCAAACCCTTTCCAAAGCAGTATTATTGTCTTGCAACTGGCCCTCTCTGGGGTTTCAGCAGTGTGGAGTCTGGGACTGCTACTGCTCAATCCTGCTAAACTCTACTAGTCATGAACTCATTACAGTCGTAGATAGTGCCAACAGTAGACTCTAAATCCTCCACACTACTAACAGGCCACGTCCTGCCTACAGTTCCTTGACGTCCTCTGTGTAATTTGAAGTCAGAAAGTGGAATGTCTTTTGTGGCTGGAGTCCAGCTTTTTTGATCCTTTTTATGGTTAATAATAGTTTCAGTTGAAAGGCGTTTGCTTCCCAACCAGGCCAAACTTCACTAGGATACTGAGGTATGATAAAATCAGAGAAAGTGTACATCTGTTGAGTTACATCTGTCTACGAAAAAGAGACAAACGAACGGACAATGTGTTTATATTCCAGGCCTATTGCACACTTTATTCTGTTCTGTAGGCCAAGGGGTTTCTATCTCACCCTCCATAAAAACAGCCGCATACTAGTGCTAAGAGCTTTAATTCAACTGACTGGAGGTCTAACTGGGCAAATGAGACGGCTTAATAAAAGCATATGGAACTATAGATTTGTTAAAGCCCTTAGAGCAGTACAGCTTGTCGAGTGAGAACAAGAGAAAGACCAGGGCTTGTAGAAGGAAAACAAAAAAAATGCATTTTCTACTAGAGGAGGAAGATGAAGCATAGGAACTAATTTGAAGGTTGTGGAGCTACTGACTTGTTGAGAATCACCACAGAAGCGTGTTTATTTATTCAGCTCACATTCACTTAGAAAGAAATACCAGACACAAAAGAACCTAATGGAAAGCACTGACTTTGTAAAAATGTCACTAATGTCCTCAGAAAGATGCCCCCCACACCCCCGTCCTTGTTTGCTGTTTCTTCAACATAGTATTTACAGTATTTTATAGTCTCCCACCAACATGTAAATGCAGCATAAGTCAGCACAGACTTGTCAAATGTCATTGTACTTTATTTTTAAATTCCTTTTTTATTTTATTAAACCTGATCAGATCACACGTGTGTTTTCATACAAGAACACACATTCAAAACTTTGGAAGTTTTTGACAGTGATGTATACACCATGTGATTTGTAGAGCTGAAACATGCAAAACAGTGTCTTTTAAGAAAGTGTTTTTCAGTAGACTGCAGCTATGTTTTCTCCATGTGTCGTCAAATGGAAATAATACTGAACAAATTCAGAAAGAACAAATATTTGTGGGAGACAAATTATTCGTGCTTCACTGAATATCACATTTGGATTGAGAACAACCCTAGCATTTTTATTTAGAAAAATGCATTTTTCATTATATTAACACAAGGAATGTCATGCCTGGTTTGGTAAACCTTGTTGAATAAATCAATGTACTGAATTCACATACACATCCTCAGGTAGATAAACCTGGAAAGGAAACAGAACATCAGGACAGCCAAATGAAGCTTTCTCTCTCAATATCTGTTCAAGTTTGAAACGCATTTTCATATTTTTCGGCCATTTGGTCAATTTATAATTGAAAAAAAAGAAAACAGTAGCCTATGTTTTTAGCAGGAGTGTCTATAGGGAGGCAGGTGGTTGATTTGTAAATATACAGTTTTTGTATAGTGGAGTTGTGCTGCTCTTTTTCTGTTTGTGAGAAAGGCAGGGGGCGGAGTCAGAGCAGTAGAAACGCCACTCAGCAGCGAAGCAATCTTATCTAGGAGTTGCAGGCAGCTTTTTCTTTCTCTCTCGCTCGCTTTCTCTCTTTATGTACTGTATCTCTCTTACCCTTCTCTCCATCTCTTGTTGTCTTTTTCCACAATCTATCCCCTTCTCTTCTTCAGGTTCTCTTTGTTACTCCTCCCTCACCTAACCACTCCCTGAACTCGAACTTAAATTAAATGGAGGAGTGTACACGGAGCAGCTGTGACTGTTTCACTCTGTTCATTGTGGGTGTGTCGAGAAGCTACTAGCTCCAGCCCACTAACGAAATGAAAACAATGCCCAACAGTATCTGGAGTTAATGAATGGTCTCCTTGGCAACAGCAGCACTTAATACATTTTACTTAAAGTTACCATGTCTGTGCATGCATATAGCACAAGTAAGTTCTGCTGGAATTATACAAATTTTCTTCATTTGTGTTCAAGGGGAATGGAACAAACTGAGAGTCATCAGTAGTGACTGTTCAGGACCATAATGCATTGCTCTCGGGCAAATAAATAGACCATTAAGCTGGCATGTTGGAGGGAGAGCAGCAACTAGCTTTGGAGAGAGCTGCCTCCCACACACAGGCACCCTGTAGAGACGGCTGAGATCATAAAAACAGCCACGGATTTGGCCTCCTCCACCGTGCGTTTGAGCAAAAATCAACTAGCAGGATGGAAGCATCTTTTGTCCGTTTGACATGTCAAAGGCAAATTCAAAGATTCCATGTGCTGTTGTGGAGGAGCAGAAGGTTGTAAAGTTATCTGTGAATTTGTCTTGCGGATGTTTTTTCCCCCCTCATTCGGAGGTGTTTCTGTCTCAGAGGCTGCTTTGAACGTGTGTGCGATAGTGTCGCGGTTGATTCTGTAATCTATCTGTGCATGCTGTGGAGCAGTGCGCCCTGTGGCTTTTCATTAGCATACTGTAGGGTTACTTTGCCCCTGTTGTACAAGGAAAAGAAAGCACTTGTAGATGTGGAGGAAGAGGGATGGGGAGTGAGCCAAGAAACAAGGAGCTAAAACCTCAACCTTCACAAGCATAACATCCCCCTTGTTTTCCTACAAAGACTTAGCCGGTGCTAGTTATTATTTACGATGGGTAAATTTATGGAATCATTTCAGTGAGGGAAGGTTACTCAGTTCCTCAAGGTGAAAATGGATACGTTTAGCACTTAATGAATCAGGCCTGGGCCTCTCCCCCATATATCAGCATGTTATTAAGACATTTTAAAATCCCATTATGGTGTTTCTCCTTGAACATGTCATGCTTTTATTGGACTGCCCTGTCTTTAAATCTGACCTTTTCAGGCCTAGTCTGAAATGGTACCCAAAAAATGATACATGACAGGGCAATGGAACGAAATATACATATGTAGGTATAAAAATATTAGTGTTGGATGGTTTCCAGTGATCTGACTGAGATGCCCGGTAATGGCAAATAGTTTCTAGCAATAAAAAGATGCTTAGATAGCAGCTACAAATGGTTTACTGTAAATGGCTGAGTGTGGTAAGAGGTTGCTTTTATGTTCCAGTAATCTTGTTATAAATGTGTGCCACTTTTGGCCCCAATTTTATTAAAATGTGTGCGTTTTTTCTCGTTAAATCTATTTGTTTTGGACTGAATCATGGAAGGAAGAGCACTGGTATCAGATCTATTCACATAAATTATATTGTAGACTTTATGCTCTGCTACAACAAATATATACAAATTATACATTTGGATGGGTGTTTAAACAGTATGTGCACTAATACAGTACGTGACGAGGAAGCTTATGTTCAATAAAAAAAATGGTGCTGCAGTTGTAACAAACACATTGTAAATCACAGCTACATTTTTTTTCAAACTTTTCCTCCAAACAAATCGTGCCCAAGTCTGGTGAAATTGTTCAGCTTGAACAACAATAATGAAAAAAGAAGGAAGTAAAATTGGGGAAGGAGGAGAGCGTGACACAAAGACTGTGATGACAGAGGCATCTAATCCAGGCAATGCCATTCTTATCAGGGTCCAGTGGATTAGAGAGAGCCTCCTAACCAGAGAATCCTTCCTAGCCAGACACTCTCCACAGCCCAAGGGCCCGGATCAATAGGCCTGCATTGATCTTTCTCCTCCTGTGGTTGAATTCACTTTTATTAGGACTGCCTCTTCCTCTATCACTTAGACACACATATGAAGCCTTGCAGCCTCTCCATGCACCTGCCATGAAATACCACAAATGCGAATGGACATACACACACACACACACACACACACACACACACACGCACACACATGCACACACATTCTATTTTATGTGTGAAAGAGAGCTGAGTTGTTTTGTTTACATTGAATAACAGGCAGCAGAAACACTATAGTGTCAAGTCAACTTAGCTGCATGATGGGATTTTGGTTTCCTCTCCAGCCAAGGCACTTTGATCAGTATCACAGAACAGCTATTAGTATGGGAGAGCGGGCCTTGACACCTCTGGTTTGTGGTCTCTTGTTGTAGCAACGACAGCCTGAGTCACCAGCGCTAACCTCTCTCTGTTGCTCTTTCTTCTCTCTCCTCCAGATGACTCGCCCCATCCAGGTGAAACCGGCTGACAGCGAGAGCCGTGGAGGTAGTTGTCTTCTTTTCTTCATCATTTATTCATGTCCCCTTTTCATCTGCCCCATCTAGGCTAATTCTTTTCATTCTTTCCCTCTGATCTCATCTGTTCCACTGTTCTCAATGCAATATTCCTTCAGACAACACTCACTTTTTTTCATTCTATTCTGTTGCTGCACTTTTTTTGATCATTACAAACAAAGGTTATCACATAGTTTAAAGCAAACTGTGTTCTGTATTAAATACATTATGTGATTGTATGACATCTTAGTTTAACTGCCAGTCTCTCTGCTTGTGGCAGTTGTAACAAATTTAAGTAGACATGTGTGTAATCTCAGCCCATGCATATTGTTGCTTAATGTATTTGTTTCTAGGTTTGTGGATTCATCTCACATAGCCTCATCCTGCGTGTGCCCTTGTATTGGTTGTAATTGATTAAATAGTCTGCTATTGAAAGAAAGTACATGTTCGATGGGCTTCCCTGCTACCCATCTCTCTTTTCTTGTTCCCTAAGCCAAGTACATTATCGTAGTGTAGCCAGTAAAGTGGCCCACATGTTAAAGCCCACACTGCTTGGTCTATGTGCAAAACACGAGAGTAAATGCTAAAGAGGGAGGGAGAAGTGGAGCAGGAGCACATCCAGCTTGCCAAACAATCAATACATTTGCAGGGTTCTTGCCAAGATCCTCATTACTTGGCCTTAATTCTGTCGTCTTTGATCTCTCCCGTTTTTGGAGGCTTTCATTTGCTCGCTGCCTATCTGCATATATGTTAATGGGATGAGGAGGCATCCTTCAAGTCAGTGGCAGAAACAATGAACCTTGCTTATATATTTTTGGTGAGCATCTTGTGTGTCACCCCATAACAAAGCAAATGCCTTTTTGTTGTTTAAAGAGGGAACGCTGTTTCCAGTCTTTCAAATCCTGGTGGAAGGAGAGAGAGATTTGGAAGTGAAGGCAGGGAGAGAAAATGCAAGCACGATGCCAACTGCATACAGCTGCCGTGCTGCACTTCTGAAGCTTTACCTAAAAACCTCTGCCTGTTTTGGGTGAATTAGGATGGCTGGCCACTTTGGCTGCCGGTCAAATGCACACAATCTTCAAAGGACAGGACAACCCCTTGAGATGGATGGAGGAAAGGCCAATAAAGATCACTGTCAGTGCTCAATGTTCTCTTTCTTTCTTTCTTTCTTTCTTTCTTTCTTCAACCATTCACTCAGAGCTTTACAGGAGTGGTTAGACAAGCAAAAGGGTCTTGTGCTGTCAAGATTGATGTCCCCTATAGCTCCATTGATTTTGCCATTGTGGTGTTGTGTGTCCACATTAACAATGACACTCAGCTGTCTCTTTACTTGGTTGTGAGTGGCTGGTTTTAGAGCTCCCAGGGCACTTTGGTCAGTATGGGGTCCTCTTACTGGCCAGCCGTGGGACCCCACTGAGGAACAAATGTCTGCTGGAACAGACCTGAGAGTTGCACATCATCTTAAATGAACAGGTCAGAGTGGTGCCGCAGGGGCAATCAAGCACTAGCCTGACTTTAACGGGTTAGGAGGTAGAAGCAAAAGGGGGAGAGAGAGGGAAAATGCAGAGGGAAATGGAATGAATTTTCATTTTTTTTCAATCTTGTATTGTCATCCTGCTTCTAATTTACTGGCTTGAGTTATGTCTGTGATTATCATTGGCAAAGATAATTTTGGTTTTCTCCATATCTGGTTCTGTCTTTAGCTGCTCTTGCTGCTGTTGGGTGATGGACTGTGCTGCTGACGCTTCTACATGGTCTACTTTTACAAGCCTTAGCTTCTTATTTGCTCATTTTATTGTGCTGTCTGAAATTCATATAATTATTACTCTCCTTATTTAACATTGTTAAAACTGCCAAAATTACAATTTTGTTATTTTGATCCTTATTTGGCTGCTGTTGCCAGAACTAAGATCAATAACTTCAGGATTTTAAACTCAGCGTAGTGTAGAGGAGCTGGAAGAGCGGATGCAAAAAATATTAATTAGCATCTCAGTGCAGTGGAGGGAGGGACACCAGGGAAAGACCCAGTATGGCCTGCTCTCTCAGGGGCCACACTGCAAGTCCGATAGGGGGAATATATTCCTCAGTGCACACAGTCACACTACAACACACACTCATACTAATTAGTCCCTTAATCTCATTATGAGGAGGACTGTTCAGATCACCTGTGCCAGGTTGGTCGGCCATTAGGGAAAGACCTGTTACTGTGGTTTTATGCCTGCTGGACCTGCGCTCCTCCTAGAGCAACTCTCGCTGTTATTAAGACCAGACAGACTCAGACAGTGTACTTTCCCTGGTTGCTGTTTCAGTAAAAATTTAAACCGCCATCCTATAGTCATCAAAGAGGAAGACACAAGAACGTATTCTCCTAACAAATTCAACTAAATATTTGATGACTCTTGGACATTTGAACAAACTGGTCAAACTTTCAGTACATGGGGCCACTAGGTAGCTTACAGAAATTAAAGGGAAATATTCGGTAGAGTAAATCCATCCAAATACTCTGTCATCCCTTGCTGCCGCCTAACAAAGACACACTGTGAAATGAATATTAATGGGCAATCACCTACCTAATCTAGCAGAACAGCAGCCGTTACACATTGAGCCACCAGCACCGTGAATGGTCTCCGTCACTGATGACGCAGACCATTCTGGGATGTTTCCAGAAGACGTTTAAAGAGGCGCAGCAGGGACCTGTCTCTCTCGTTTTCTCCTCGCAGGTCTCAGATATGAAATAGATTGATTTTCCATCACACATGGCACTGATGACTGGCACTGACTGCTGCTGATATTTCATCTTTGAAGGGCTGTTCAATGCCTCCTTGGATGGCTTGGTGTCCTTACACAGGATTAATCAGCTTTAACCACTTTGATTTCATCGTAAACCCTTTACCATCGGCACCCTCCTCAGCATTCCACCATTACTATCTGTCCATTCTTGTTCCCTCTTTTGCGGGCTGTCATTTCATCAGATTTATCATCTTTTTTTAGATCATCTTAAAAGATCTGGCCTGCTCTCTGCAGAATAAATTGTTTTTCTGTGTAAGTGCTGCAATGTTTGTTCCTTGAAGTTCCAAATTTCCCAGCTTAACCCATTGTTAAAGTTTTGAGCTCAGAGATTGTCTAGAAAGCAGAGAGATGAGCAGGCTAGCTGTCAGATGGGCCTCTGTTGGTGTTTCACCAGGCCTGCCTGGCACAGCTAGAGCTACAGCCCACTGAGGAGGCCTGGATTAGAAACAGGCTCTGGCATTATCAAGGCAGGCCTGCCGCCCACGCACACACCCACACAGAGAGGACAAACAGATGAACACATACATACCCATACGGCTCTGACACACACACACGCACACACAGAAACACACACTGTCTCTAATGCATACACACACGCAGTGGGAAGTTGGATGTACATAATGATAGGAACACGTGTGCACACACACAGGGGCGTGTTCGGTATAGGTATTTACACACAGACACACACACAGTGTACATATATGCTGAATGGAATGGGTCAATTTTCTTTTCATGAGCTGTGTTTCATGTTGCGGGCCAAACAGCAGCGTTGCATTGTGTTTGTGTGTTTACTCCAACTGAAGGACAATGAAAAGGTTTGCTCCAGTTCACTGAGATGTGACGGAACAAAGAGAGAGAGAGAACAAGAGCGAGAGGCAATAAGTTAAGAGATTTGGAATCTAGATTGAGAGAGCAGGTTTACATGCTCTGTTGCTGTTCTGTGCTCAGTTTTTGATGATGAATTTATCTGGTGTGAAAGACAACAGAGTGGTCCATGTATTAAACATCAGTGGTGTTCTCCTTTCCTTACTAGAGAGACGAGCTCCCCATGTCAGAGCAGCTCTGTAATGAACCAAGCAGGAAGGCCTCTAAGCTCCACTGATCCCCCTTAGAAAAGAGAGGAGGAATGAAGGAGAGAAGGGTAGTTAGAGGGAGAGGAATGGGGGGTGAAAAGACAGATGGTGAGAGTAGAGAGGTGGTAGAAGGGAATTTGTACTGAGAGACTGAAAGTGGAAGGGGTGGGGGGGGTGGGGGGCAAGTGCAAAATAAACAGAGAAAAGTGTGGATAAACTAGCGAGAGGGAGGGGTGGCAGGGGTGAAGCTGAACAGTATATCTTCTCCCTTTGGAGAGAGGAAAACTATAGATTACTGCCCACAATGTTCTTGGCTGGGCATAAATGGAGAGATCTTGAAATAGTAGGGAACATGTTCAGAGGTTGTGGGGATCAGGGTGAGCTAATCCAATGGTAAGGCCAGCTGTGGGTCACTCCTTTGGAGCTCACACTCACTTGTCCAAATCCCCTCTGGTGTGCTTACACAAACAATACAGATACACAGGCCTTGGCTAGCCCAGAGTTCAGTCAGCCAACTCCAACGAGCTGGCCTGGGATGTTCAGGTCACTCTGCCTGTAAGCTCTTAAATTTAACCTCACATCAGCACAAACTGGTTTGTTTTAAAGGGGAGGCGCTGGGGGTGGGGGAATTAGGTTTATGGAAGACAGACAAGGGGAGAGAAAGCAGGAGAGCAACAAACAAACAGAGCGAGAGAAAAAGATGATGGAATCATTTCTATAGGGATGTGCTCTGCTCCTGAGGGTCAGATTGTGCTGAGGCTGTTGGAGTTATGCAGAGTCAGTGGAAGAAGTAGATCACAACAATTCGCTAATACACTGGGTAGGTGGAGATCAATTAGCCTTATCTAACAAACTACTAATGATAATGCCAATGCAAAACTTGCTGATATGGCAAAAAACTACGAGAGAAAGCAGAGTGATGATGTAATGAATTTAGCTAGTTGAAAGATGCAGTATTTCTGCAAACACAGTGTCCCATACTCTTTTTCCAACAAAATACACTATACCTGCAACTTCTGTGGTATACTCAGTCAGCACATGCACAGATGGAAGCAGCAGCTACTTATGGCATGTAGACAAAATAACAGAAACACCTTAAAGCATGATATTGCAGGTAATGCATAAAAAT